AACTCACAGCACTTTCCTTGGAGCTCTCTATGTCAGGAAGATGGGAGCCCAGAGACACTTCTCTCCCCACCCCACAGGCACCTCTTCTCTGGAATGCCCCTGGACAGCACCCCACATATCCGGGGACAGTCAGAGCAATTTAGTGCCTTGAATTTATTTTAAGGTTAAAATGTAAAAGGTAATTATTTTACTTAGGAAGCATTTAAGTATAAAATGGTTGATTGATTAGTTTTTTTAGTGCCCTGATTTGGAGTGTGGCGGGTCACGGGGGGAAGGGTGTGAGTGGGGGAAGGAGTAATGGCCTGAACATCATATTGTCATCTCCATCTACAGCTGACCAGCCCCCCTGGCTGGCTCTCCAGTCAGCACTTCCAGCACCATTGAGTGTGATAGTTCTGAGTTATATCAGTTACACACTCAGAATCCCATTTGATTTTCATAACCAGTCTGTGACGGAAGACAGGCTGATGGTATGATTTCCATTTTAGATGAGGAAACGGAGTGTGTTCCTCATGCCCCAGGTGAATGCGAGTGAGGAACGTAGCCGATAACTAAAATCCCAAGTTTTCTCAACACACCAACGACGGTTAATTTTTCTTATTATAGTATGATGCATGAGAGGAAACAAACACATAAATTATAAAAAACTTAGTAAAGCTTACTTTTATGATAGCAGTAAGAACGTGGAGCATTTACAAAAGACTGAGCTAGAGAGACTGGCTGAGTTTGAGGTCTCCTGTTGATGACGTGCAGATGCTTTTTCTGTACCGTTTTATCGAAGAAGAGGGGATCCGAGTGCTGCATGGCATTTTTAGGTTTGGTGGCTGCCATGAAATCTCCCTCCTGAAAAGTTTGCACGCCTGCCAAAAGTTCATTTTGGTTTTTCAAATGAAACACAGCATCCATGCCACACATAGTTATGTCCTTCCAGTTGAGTGGCTTTGTAATCTCTTGAGAGCCGAGGAAACTTGGCCCTGATTCCGTTGGCACAACCTACCCACAGACCCACTCCTGTCATTTGCAGGGCCCGGGACAAGGCTGCAGAGGAGACATTGGACCTAGGCCAGCACTAGGGTGAGGCGAGTGAGATCATGTTTTGTTTTGGTTTTTTTTTTTGGTTTTTTTAATAGACGAGATCAGTAACAGTGCCCTTCTGAGTGATATTGGAGCTTGAGACAAAAGGAGAAATTAATAATATTGATCCCATCTTTATTCCAATTTTTTATATTTTGTTCATTGCAGACTTTTTGCATTCCTTTTTACTTTTTAACATATTGCATTAAATATTTACTAGTACTTATCGATATAAAATAAGTGGGAATAAACTTGATAATTGTTCAATATCTAGGTGAAGAAAGCTTTCATGAGTTTTTTGGTGCCCCTTAATTATGCACCTATGGCAAGCATCTCCTGACTTACCTCATCCTAGTCTCTGTCCCACCTTGGGCCGGGGGGTGCACAGGTAGGGAATAATGTCCACCCTCGCCGTAGACCAGGGAAGAAGCCTGCACAGGCTCCCACATTGCACCAGAGTTATCCGGGCATGGAATTCCAGGGCCATGGCTGTGTGACGTGGGGACATGAGATACATAGGTGGACCTGCCTGTAGGTCCCCAGGTTCCTCGCTCATTGAGAGGAGAGTGGTTAGAGGAGGACCAAAGTGGAACCCCCTGGAGAGTAATTCTCAGCGTCAGAGCCTCTCGGAGGCTTGTGAAGACGCGGCTCGCTCAGACCCTGATGCAGCAGGTGTGGAGTGGGGCCCAAGAGGCTCCATTTCTAAGGCGCAGTGGCCCCTTTCTCCTGAGGTTTCTGTGCATGGGAATTACGGAGCGGCTTGCCACTCTCTCCTAGACTTCCTTTCAGGTTTTTATCCAGCAGCATAGGCAGAATGTACCCTTCCAGGGGAAAAGTGCAGACTTTTCTGCTTTCCTGGTCAGTCTTATCTTTGTCGCTGCTATTGATGGAGGTCTCGCCAGGATGCGTGAGGGTGAATCATGGCTATAGATTTTATTTTCCCATAAATTTCTTGCATGATGTATGGAAATGAGAGCTAGACTATCTGATATTAAATAGCATTCTTAAGTACCTCAAGATTTTGTTTTTAAGTGTGTGTGTTTTAAAATTATATTAATTTAAAAGCACATTTAAAAACTTTTAAATAAAACTGTTTTTACCTATAAAGAAGAAAATTAACATGTCTCCTAAACCCTCCTCCCAAATGATCCCTGTTGATATTAGAATTAAAAGTACAAAATGAAATTAAAACCACCTTTCTATCCTCCCCTCTCTATTCCACTCCCTCTCTCTAATATTGATGTGTATGTGGGATTGTGTTATTTTTGTGTGTGTGGGTGTGGTGTTCTTTTTTTTTTTTTTCCAGAAAAAAATGTATTCATGTTCCCCCTCCTAATATTTTTATACAGGAATATCATCTGATAATATTGTCAGATATTTTGCCTCCTAAGTTAGTAGTGTATCTTAGACTTGTTTCCGTCAGCAAATAACAGATTTACCTTAATCGTTTTAAGTGGGTCATAGGATTCATCATTGGGATATCCCAGTATTTACCTAGCCCTCCAATAAAGAACTCTTTGTTTCTACGCTTTTGTTATGTGAACAACCCTGTAGTGAAGATCTTTGTCCATATACATGTCTTTGAAAACATGTTATGAGTCCAGCCATAGTTATGATTCCCAGTAGTGGGGTTGTTGGACAAAGGGTGTGTGCACTTTTAGGTTTGAAGGCATTGCCCTCCACCCCTATCAACAGTGATGGGCATACCTGTTTGCCCAGTGTTCTTGCCCACATGGATAACATACAAGTAAAAAGAAAAACATATTATTCCAATAGCAAATGGTATAAAATAAGTAGGAATAAGCTTGATAATTGTTCAATATCTAGTTGAAGAAAGCTTTAATGGCTACATAAGGGATGGACCAAAAAAAAAAAAAAAGCCCTGAATAAACAAAAATTATGCCATGTTCTTGGATGGGAACTTGTAGCCTGATGAAAATATTCATTCTGCTTTAGCTAAGCTATAATTTGAACTTGATCCAATAAAAATATCAACAAGATTATTTTTGAGGGAGAATTTGATTAGCTGATTTTAAAGACCAATTGAAAAATGAATATGTAAGAATAGACAGGAATATTCAGATAATGAACTGGAAAATTCAGGATATAGCCTGAACAGATATTAAACTAATATGAAACGAAAATTATTAAAATAGATTAATGAATCACAGTCACAAACTTAAATATATTCAGGAATGTAATATATGATAAAGGTGGCATCTCCAGTCAATGAGGAAGTATGTGTAAACCTTGGGGGGGAAATGTTTAATTCATATTGTGTACATTCCAAATGGATCAAAAATGTACATGCAAAAAAGTAAAATACTACAAGATATCACAGGAGAGTTATTTTATAATTCCAGATCTCTCTGCTATAATATAAAACTCAGAAGTGGTTGAAGCAAGATTGATACATTCAACTTCATAAGAAAAATTCTTCATGGCAAAACCCCAGCTTATGCAAAATTAAAAGACAACCAATTGGGGAAAGATATTTGTAGCTGGTGTCACAACTGAGGGCCTTATTTCCTAATATATAAAGAGTTTCTACAAACCAACAGAAAATAAAAGGGATTGGGGGCCTATAACCCATTAGATGATTGGGTAGAGATATGAACAGTTAACAGAAAATGCTAATACTAAAGATAGTGCTTAATCATAAACTTTAATTATGTTTAAAAAATAAAAATTACATAATTAGAGGAATATAAATGAACACCTCACAGTGAGATTAGCCAGTGATTGTATAGCACTGATGAGAGGTAAATCTATACTACTCCGTGGAGGAAATCTGGTAATATCTGAAAACATTACAGTGCATTTATCTTTAGCTCAGCAATTCCACACCTAGGAATTTACTTTTTATAAGTACTATCTGAGCTATATTTTTCATTGCAGCATTACTTATAAAAACAACAGTTTGAATCATCTCTGGTCCATCACACTATGGTACCCTGTGCACCTTTAAAAGGATGAGGAAGAGCTCTCCCTACTACTGTTGAATGGATTCTAAGAACAGGGTACTGATAACTGATTAGAAAATGATTAAAAGCCAGGTGCATTAATGTTATACTGCCATTTGTGTAAAAAGGGAGGACGATATATAGACATATTTACTTGTATGAATTCAGCGATGGTTAACGTGAACATATACAAAATGGATAATATTGCTTACCTGTAGAGGAAAAGCCTGAGAGGCAGAGAACAGGGCTGGGATATAGTTTTCATTGTATATATGCTGATACCTTTTGAATTTTGAATCTTGTCTGTCCTTAAAATTTTTTAATCTAAATTTTAATAAAGTGTACAATATTTGTTTTGACCTGCATAGTTATAATGTTTAGTTAATGTGGGTGTCTGCAAATAGTGATTGGCTTTTTTTTTTTTTTTAAAGCAATTGCCTATTCCTATACTTTGCCCATTTTTATTTATTTTTTTTTGAGGGGGGGGGAGTGGTTTCTTTGCACATCAAGGAAATCACCTCTTTGTCTTAAACATCACAGAAATTTTCTTCCAGTCTATCTTTTTGAGTTTGTTTGTGCTGCTGTTTGCCACCTGGTAATTTTATATTTGCATGCCGTTGTCACCTCCACCTCCTCCATCTCCTTCTGCTCTTTTTTATTTTTTGAGGGCGTGGAAATGACGTTTAAAGGTAATCTCTGACAAAAAAAAAATTGACTCTAGATTTAAAACATCCAATTACCAATGTTTCTGGTTGAGCTGGAAAATAGCCAGCTGCGTATAAGTCCTCTTCAAAGACAGTAGTTAGTTAAGACAGGAAAAAAAAAAAAAAAAAAAGACCCTCATTTTTTAACAAGAGGTGACCCTACAGGCCCCAGGCAAGGGCAGAGGGAGAGGGATGTGGATGGTGCGGGGCAGGCGGTTTTGGTGGGTCTCTGACGAGCCTCTCCTCTCTCCACTCCCAGCCGAGCTCCCGCGGTCCTCAGCAGTGAGGCTGGCCTCCCTGCGAGACCTGCCCGCCCAGCTCCTGGAGCTGTACCAGCAGGGCTTCTTGCTCGTGGCCCTGCACCCTTTCGTGCAGCCGACCCACAAGCAGGAGAAGACACCCCTGGAGCACATCTTCAGGGCCATCCTGATCAAGAAAACCGACAGGTAAGGCCTCCAAGGTTGGGTGGGGAGCATCATGAGGTGGCTGATGGGTGTTGGCTGGTAATGCAAAACACGGACAACCAGCGAACATTTCCTAGTGTCCTGTGACTGCCCACACCTGACTGCTTACATAGAGGGCTCCATTTTATATATTTCCTCTCCTTTAATTTATTGGATTAAACTCAGCTAGAAAAAAGCGTCCCCTCCGAAGAGGAGTACTTCCAGAACAGTTCAAGCACAGCCAGTTAACGTATAGTACTATCCTCTGAAAAGCATGGCTAGAAAAATATACTCGTGTTGTTTTTTTTTTAGGCTACATACAAACTTAATGGTTTTCCCCACGCTTGACCATTTTGAACCCAACATAAATTCTGTGAATCCCTTAGGAGGAAAAACAAACAGTACCCATTTGAACCTATTGCTGTAATTGATTTGATGTCTTGATTTTGGTTTTCAAGGCTTGGAGGATGTTTCTCAGGATGGCTTGACCAGTTGAATGGTTCCTCTTGTTATATTTTTATTGGGTCTAATTAGAAAAAGAGAGATGGAGATTGGTTTCTCACAAGGAGCAATAAATATTAATTTTAAATATATTTTTTAAAACAATGGAAGTATTTTTGCTGCTTTGGTAAAAAAACAAACAAACAAAAAACAATTGAAATAAAGTCTGGCGAGGGAAACGGATCTGTCCTCGGCCATCTATCATAGGAGGAATGACAACACGGACCACAGTTTAAAAGGAGGGAGAGTGCAGAGTGACTATTTCTTTTTTCCCCTTTTTACAAGTTGGTTTGCCAAGTGGACAAACGTTGGGCTGGTGAGCTCAGGAGGGACAGACAGAGGCGGGAGCTGTGTGGCTAAGATGGGCTCCTCTTTGCTGTCCAGCAGAGTTCATTTCTTCACAGCTGATCAGACTCTGGGGTTCTTAGTCTGAGCCAATGCGCATTAGAATTTGAAGTGAGAGATGGCATACGCCATTGCTAACGTCCAGAATTACCATGGTATTTGTAGAGTGAGGCTTTTTTTTTTTAACATCTGCCTTTTGGGCATATTTGTTTCTTTATGTTGATTGGCTGTGGATCAATATGTGGGTCAATCACAAGAGGAAATGGTTCTGAAAGCCATGGTGGTTTGAGGTTCCACATGAGACATGCATGATGACACTTACTGAGCATCCGCTGTGTGCCAGGCCTTATGCGTGTCATTTCACCCTCATCAGCCTATGAAATTAGATACTATTTTTATTTCCATTTTAAAGGCAAGGAAGCTCAGACCCAGACGTTGAGGTATTTATCAAGGTACCTAATGAGCTTACTTTCTAGAAGTGGAAAATGGATCAAGCTATTAAGAAGAATGAAGCATTGGTGTGCAGGGTGGTTTTTAAAAAGAGAAGATGCATTCTCTGTGGGTTTGAGTTCTCTTTAGTCTGGACTACCCACCAAGATGATGTAATGACTTTGTAGATACAAGAAATTCCTTGTACAACTTTGTGCTGGGTCTTCTTTGAAACTGCTCCCCCCAACCCTCCCATCTTGTTTTTTGTTTTAAAGAAATTGCAAGAGTTTGGTAACTTACCGGTACCAAGTATGGTAATGAAAATGGCAATTGACCATTCTTACGGCAAAATGACCAAGAGAATTTGCCCACTTCCATTCCCTGTCAGTTTTGTGTGGGAAGTGTGGAAATTATACAGTATAATTTTAAAGTACAGACACTTTCTCTGCTTGTAAGTGCAATAACCGTTTGGTTTTTTTTTTGTTTGTTTGTTTGTTTGTTTGTTGTTTTTTGCATCATGAGAAAAATACCCCCCACACTATTAAAAATAAACAATCAAAAATTCCCACAACAGAAGAACCTTCTCTTTAGGGAGTTTAGTAGAAAGAAAACAAAGTAAATCTTATGTGATTAATTTTTTATACAGACAGTTAAGATGATATTTTTCACGAAGTCTGCCAAAGTTCTGACAGCTGTAGACACTGCTAAGTGAAACGATTTCACTCTCCAAGAGGAAGTAATTGCCTAGTTCATGTTTTGTAAGTCGACCCCATTGAAAGAGGTGTAGATAAACTTTCTAGATTACTATCAGTCCAGATCAAGTTCATTCGCGAGAATCACCATGGGATGACTACTTGAAACTTGAATATCCACTTTAATGTGTTTGGAAAGTGCACATAAAATTTTTGGCAAATAACTAGGTTTCAGGGTCTACAGCAAGACCAGGAAAAAGAACAAAATCATGCAATTCATTCATTCATTCATTCATTCATTCACACTTACTGAGCTTGTATTCTTTGTAAGGGACATGCTAGGAGCTCTACGTCATGGGACGCCGGAGGGTACAGGTGCAAGATTCACCTGGGTAAGGAGCCTGCCTTCCAGGCAGGTATAGATTAACTGAGAAAATAAGGCATCCAGCCATGGGAATCTGGGAAAAGGAGACATCATGTCCTGCAGGAAAGGAAACTAAGGAAATGTCTCTGGAAGAAGTAGCTTTTCATTTGGACCTGGTTTCTTTCCGGCAAACATAGGAATGATGCACATGCGTGGGAGGATTTTGTCTGTCTTGTAATGAAATGTTTTCTAGTGGAGTTTGGGGTAATTTGAGAGCATCATTGACAGTCTAACTGGATTATTAATGACTCATTCCCAAAGCTCGGTACAGTAACATTTCCCTGAGCCCTCTATCATTTTGACAAATTTCACTTAAATCTAGGAAAAATTGCCTGATCCTTTTTTTTTTGTTGAAAATTCTTGTAAATGTCATTTCATTTTAAGATGGCAGGCCAAATCACACATCTAGTTATAAATTGTTCTTAATCCTCAGTGTGTTGAATTTAAAGTCAGTTACTTTGAAAACTGAATCAAGAATGAATAGCCAAATGAGACACTTAGAATAAGTAGAGAGTTTTGTACTTCCTTCTCTCTACTCTTTCTTTGGGACATGGGGTGATTTTTAACAGACAATATTATTGCATTTGCTCTGAATTCTAAATACAGTTAAGTTGTCCTTCATTTTTTCTTTCCGGGCAGTTTCCCTTAGAATAAGTTGCCAAAGATCTCAAAACATGATGGCTAAGAGAAGTCGGTTATTAAAATGTCACTGCTGATGTTTCGTGAGTGTGGGTTTAATTCTAGGTCGTTGATGGTTGTAGACATAAGTACAAAAATGCTTTGTGCCAATTAATTTTTCAGCTGTTGAATTGTCACTGTTCACACATCGAGCTAGTCCAAGGGGTCCGTGATGCGTTTTTCATCACTAATGGGTTCAAGTCATTTGAGTCCAGGTCCCCTGGAATAATACCTTATATGGTACAGAGGACCCGGACATTTGTCAGCGCTGTCGACATTTTGGCCTGGGGTCAGGGGGCGGGACACACAGCGGAACTGCAGCTAATGGAGAGGGCGAAGCCCTGTTTGGAGGCAGGAAAATGCATACAATTGAGATCGACCAAAGGACTTGTGTACATGCATATAAGCCTAACCATTGGTCATGGACAACAGGGGGTGGGCATATGTGGGGAGGGGTTTGGAATGGGAATGGGGGGACGAGGACAATTATGTGATACCATAATCAATAAAGAAATTTTTTTAAAAAAAGAGAAAAAGAAACTGCCCTTGAAAATACCTTTAATTGCACGTGAAATGTAAATACCGTAGCATCTCTCTACCTGCCCGATGCATGTTTTTCCTTCAGGACTAGGCCAGAGTGGTGGGTCCAACAATCAGCCCCGAAGGGAAGGAAGTTGGTCGGGGTTTGTAGGAAGTGTTCATTAGCATCACACCTAGGGCTGAGATGCTTGCACCTAGGAGGTGTGTGTGGGAACTGAGACAGCATCTCCACGCCTCCTGTCTCACATCCATTCTAGGGCACATCTGCTGGTTGAGGAGAATAACTGGCAGTATTTTAAGTGGTAAATGTTCCTCCCGTTCAGTTAGATTTTTTTCTAAGATAAACATGTGTGATGTAGCTTCACTAGGCAGAGAGGATTCTAAAGAGCTCCCAACTCTCAAGAAACGTACCTACTAGGGGAATGTAAAGTCTCTATGCAAATTATGTGGGGATCCGATTTCACCTCTTACCTGGAATTTGCTCATGGAGGGAGGAGGCTCCCCAGTCCCACTTGCTCTGGTCTGGAAGGATAGGTAGATTTGAACAGGGCGCAAGTGGGGAGACACTGTCCCTCAGGACGCTGGCCTAGGGGAGCCGGGAACCTGGGAAAGTTGACCACGGATGATGGGGGGGGGGCGACTGGAGTATTAAGTCTGGATGGAAATGGGGAGAAGCATGGGGCCTGCATCCAGGAGTCCCTGACAGGCGAACTAAGGAGTTTGAACTCTATCCTGAAGGCATGGGAAACCAGTGCCATAGTTTGTGTGTGTGTGTGTGTGTGTGTGTGTGTGTGTGTGTGTGTGTTGTTTTGTTTTAGAGGAGCAACCATTAGAGGTGCTGAGTTTTCAAAGGCTTATGAGGGGAAGAAATACAAGTTGAGAAAAACATGGTGATAGTTGTGGTGGGAGGTGATCAGTAATTAGAGTAGGTTGCAGTAAAAAGCTAAGGAAGACAGATGTGAGATATGTCATAAGAGGAAATACTGCATTTAATGTTTAGCTGGAAAGGGACAGCGTGGAGGAAGATGAATCAAAATATGAGTCAGCTTTTGACTCCAAAAAACTGGGAGGATTAACTGGAAAGGGGCAGTGATGGGGAAGTGGACCCTGATAGGGTTCTTAGGGAGGTTCTCCCAAGAGGAATCGGTTAGGAGGGGAGACATAGGATAAGGAAGGGGAGGAAGCCATCAGAGTGCAACGCCTCAGCCTGATACAGGGGGAAGTGGTGAGTCTACCTTGAGGCTGGGCTCCCGGCCTCCACCCTCCTGCACCTGAGAGCCACTTGCTGTGAGCTGCTCCAGACTCGACCAGGTCTAGGGCACATCAGGTGAAGCAATTCTAATAGCCAAAGAAGACTTCAAGTCATGCAGAAGCTGAGGGACACACAGAGCCAG